AGTCAACATAGAGCCAGCTGGCTCTGTGCAGGACCCCTGTGACCTGGAGGCAGACAGAGCAACAGAGGGCAGCCTAGGGAGAGGCTGGGGCGGGAGGGCTCGAATTCCTCCTGTTGCCGGGGGCTTCCTGGGACATCATTACTGCTGCGATCTCCAGGAGGCAGGGCTCTCGTCCCCTCTTGACACGGAGCTCTCCTTACCAGCACCTAGTCAGCTCCTCAGAACACCATGGTCTTTCTGTAGCTAGTGGAACCATTCTGTGATTCGTGTTTTGGGGGGTGAGCCGCCTGCGGGGTTTCAGCCAGTGGCTCTGGCATCTCCAGGTGTCTTTGGTCCAGGGCATGTGAGCCTTTTGTAAATGCCACAGAGCAGAGGTCTGGATGTGGCAGTGGGGTTCTAGGCCTTCCTCAGCTCCTCGTGGGGTGACCCCCACCCAGATCAGTCAGAGCAGAAATTACTGTTAGTGTTGCACAGCACATGCCCAGGGTTGATGGCCACTTGGAGAGGAGCTGCTGGCCAGTGAGACCCAGAACAGGATTCTGGCTGCTTCGGATGGAGCAGTGACCATGCTCTAGGACCCAGGCCCATGTCAGGGGGCCAAGTAGGAAGAACTGCGCCCTCAGGAAAGAGGCCAGATGCAGGTCTTCTCAGTGTGGATGAAATGACAGGATCCTAGCACCTCAGATGAGGGGTTCCCCAAAGTATATTCCAGGGAGCCCAAGTGCTCTGACCACAAATGAGGAATGTGGGAAATCTGAATGATGAAGGCAGCATCTGTTTCTTGACTGATCCTGACAGCTTCACCACCCAGGAAGGGGTTTGCCTAACTCACATGGTGGAAGCTTTGCGTGGTGGTAATTGAACCTCTTGGGGAGCACATGCTCCGCCTGCTGTCTGTCACCCTGTTGTCACCGCGGAGTGTGGAGGCCCTGCCCCAGGCCTGTGTGGCTCACTGACGCGGTTGTTCCCTAGGTATGTGCAGGAGGTCATCCAGCGGGGGCGCTCTTGCGTCAGGCCGGTGTGCACGCCCGTGCTGAGCGTGGTGCCAGCAGTGTCCGACACGGAGCTCTCCGAGACAGAGTACGTGCGTCCCCTGCGGGTCCTCTTGTACTGCTCATCCAGCCTGTGCTGTGGGCCAGGGGCTGTGGAGCAGCAGCTGTTTCCCAGGACGGGAGCCCGGGCACTGCATTGGAAGAGCTGGGGCTGCAAGCTGCTCACAGGCCTTTCCTTCCTGTCTCTGTCAAACGGAACACTGACCATCCACGTGGTGACAAATGACCAACTGGTTAGAGAGGAGGTCCCATATGTCACCCAGCCAGGACTCAGGACTTAGGGTCAGGGTTGCACCTGTGGTGCATGTCCAGGTGCTGTGTGCACAGCGAGCCTGGGTTCTCACGTGGGATGTATCTGCTCCCCAGGTACGCATAGAGTAGGGTGGGCGCTAGGAAGCTACAGGCCACATGCAGATAGTGCTGGCTGCCCTATCCTTGCACTTCTGCTCAAGATAGAGCAGAAGGAAGTCCTCCACCAAAGTCCTCACCAAGCTTACCCCAGACAATGCCAGCCAGCTCTGATTGGCCCCACCAGCTCACTCCTCGGGGTGGCCCTGGAAGAGCAGGAACCTGTCTCCTTTCTGTAGAGAATGGGTCCACACAAGACCCCGAGGCAGGCTCCCAGAACAGGCTGGGTTTGAGGTTTCAGGACTATGGGAAGGAAAGCAGGAGCCATGGAGTGTGGCTCGAGTGGTGGATAACCACACAGATGAAGTGACTCCATGGTGTGTGCCCAGGAGCACCAGGGAGGGGAGGGTCCCCATGGAGAGAAGAGCCCACTGTGAGTTAAGGTGGCCTTCCTGGCATGACACTGGTTCAGGAGGCTTCTCATCACGCCCAGCTGGCAAGAGCCAAGAACTGTGCCCATGTGTACCTGGGCAACTGCAGAGCAGTCACAAGGACAAGGGGTGCTGGGGGACAGAGGAAGTGCTACCTGTCCCAAACACAGAATGGCTGCTCAGGACCCGTCAGGGTGAGGGCCCTACCCCAGCCTGAGTGGGAGAGGGTGCTGGCCTCACACCCCTCTTTGGAAATCTGGCTGGCTGCTGCCTCTGGTCTTTGGACAAGCTCTCTGCCATGGGACAGGTCCATTTCAAGACCCAAAACAATTGTTTGTCCAATTCCTGGTCTTCAGATGTTTTTTCATTTGGGAGCAGTAGGCTTTATCTGGGGTACAAGCCGTGTAGTCCAGCCTAGAGGCAGGGGCTACATTGGTTCTAGTGGCCTGGCCACCTTAAGAAGCAGGTAGAAGGATCTACTGTGGGCTCCAGCCCTGAGAAGCCTGCTGGCCCATTTCATGTGGTCTGTGTCAGAGGTGCTGCCTACTAGCCAGTCCAGGCCACAGTGAGGCCAGGAGCTTCCCGGTGGTGGTGGAGGGTGGCAAGTGAGCTGAGGCAATATGGAGACGTGGGGCAGGCAGGGAGGGGGGGGATGAGCTGGATTCCACGCTGTCTCTTTGTGCATAGGGTTGGGGCTGGATGCAACTGTATGGGTGGGGTGAGCATTGGGGCCTCTGGATGCATGACGTTTCTGAGTGTGTGGCAGCTCACTCCTGCAGGCCTTACCCCATCGTTTCCTGGGAAGCGTGGGCCTGTTGGGGAGATGACCTGTGGGAGCTCGGCAATAACCACTGTGTTTCTGCCTCCAGGACGAAACCACAGAAGAAAACAGGAGGTGGGAGTGCCCAGTTGTGTGACAGCATCGTTGTGGCCTACTACTTCTGTGGAGAACCTATCCCCTACCGGACCCTGGTGAGGGGCCGTGCAGTCACCCTGGGCCAGTTCAAGGAGCTGCTGACCAAGAAAGGCAACTACAGGTGAGAGTTAAGGGCTGTGGTCTGTGGTAAACAGGTACCCTGTCCAGGAGAGTGTTGTGTGCTGGGTGCCCTATTCCCACCCTGTTCTTATCCCATCTGGTCCTTGTTTCCCTCTTACCTGCTTAACCAGCCCTGAGCTGTTGGCAGGAGCACCTTGATGTGTGAGGTGTTGATGGCCTCAAGGCTCCCAGCCCCAACTCCCAGCCTTAGGTGACTGAGGCCTCCAGGTCAACCGAGGGGTCTGGACAGTCCTTGCCTTAAAAGCAGGGAAGCAGGCCCAAGCACAGTAGTCTGCCTGCCCCCATGTCGGTCTGAATCTGGGTCAGCCTTTCTCCAGCCTTCTGACTCAACCCATTTTCACTAGACACAGAATCCAGGACCCCCCTTTCCAGGGTCTGCCGTGGGCTGCTCTGCCCTGCCAGCCTGAGACTAGCCTCTGAAGGCTCCTGAGTGAGCACTGTAGGAGGAAGGGCCACATGGGGTCAGCTCACTGCGGCCTGGGGGGGGTGGTTTCCTCTATCCCAGTGATGGCGAACCTTTTAAGCTCGGCGTGTCAGCATTTTGAAAAATCCTAACTTAACTCTGGTGCCGTGTCACATATAGAAATTTTTTGATATTTGCAACCATAGTAAAACAAAGATTTATATTTTTGATATTTATTTTATATATTTAAATGCCATTTAACAAAGAAAAATCAACCACAAAAATGAGTTCACGTGTCACCTCTGACACACGTGTCATAGGTTCACCATCACTGCTCTATCTACTGAGTGGTGAGAAAGTGCCCTTTGGAGGTAGAGGGTGTGGCCACTAGAGGAGGGCCCAAGCTCTGCTGGCCTCTGCACATCACCCTGATGGAGATGGGAGATGACAGGCTCAGACCTTAGGAAACAGAAACCCCAAACCTGCCTGTGTCTCCCCCATAGCATCCTAAAGGCCAGGGCAGAGGACCCCACAAGTGGTCACTGTACTGTTCACTGTCAGCTCTCTGGCAAATGGGCATCAGGCAGAACCAGCTTGCACGCCCTGTGTGATATATTTGGAATGTGGCCACCAAGTGCTGTGCATGTGTGGAACCATGAGGCCACCACGCTAGGAAGTCGGGAGGCCCCTAGGGTTTGGGGGTGTGGGCAGGGGAGGAGTGGACAGGCCCTCATCTCCTCTCACCCCCGTCCCCCAGATATTACTTCAAGAAAGTGAGTGACGAGTTTGACTGTGGAGTGGTGTTTGAAGAGGTTCGGGAAGACGAGGCCATCTTACCTGTCTTTGAGGAGAAGATCATTGGCAAAGTGGAGAAGGTGGACTGACCTGCAGGCCAGGCCTCTGCGCCAGGCAGGGCCCTCATCAGGTGGGGCAGGGATGGCCAAACTGAGAGCCCGGAAAGGCTGTGCCATGTCAGGTGCTCTCATGTGTATGCAAACACGCGGCTTCTCGTGTGAGGCCAGGGACTGCCTGCTCTATAGCCACCCACCCCTTTGGTCCATCTGTGTCCAGGTGAGCAGGGGTCCCGTTGAGTGGTCCCACAGGTGTCTGTCCTGCTGCCAACAAGGAGGAAGGCCCCGTCCACTCCTCCACAGCACTACTCTGAGAGTCCGCCCAAGCAAGCAGGGAGCAGCCCCCTGTGGGGCCGCCTTGCTGACCCTCCCCAGCGGAACCCCGCTGCTAACCACGGGCCAACCTTCTGGCGCCTCCCCCCAGGGCTCTGCTTCTCCCTCCAGAAATTGCCCACCATGCCCTACTCTGGTCAGGGCCAGCTCAGGCCCGGGGTTCAGGGGCTTCTTGGGGGTCTCTAAATTGTACATGTCACCGAGTGCCTTCAACACAGCTTGTCTCTTGCCTGCCACTATGTGGATCCGGCGATGGGGCACCTCAGTGCTCCCTCTCCACCCTCAGTTTCCACAGCGCCGGCTCAGCGGGTCCCGGCTCTTCCTTCGTAAGGGCCCATGTAAATATGTACATTCTCAGGCTAGGGCTAGCGGGGGCTGCCCCGAGCCCATTTTTCATGCGCTGACTTGTACAATGATCTTTTAAAGGTACTTGGATAATAATGAAATAAAACCAGTTTTTGAACCTTCCCTGGCTATAGAGCGCACGGATCTTCTGTCAGTGGGGCCTGGTGAGCGGGTGCCTCATCCTCAGCCCAGTTTCCAGCACATGTGACCCGTCTCCTCTATCCCGGCCTGGTTATGCGCAGCCCATATCAGGCCTCAGCAACAAGGTCATACTGGCACCAAGGGTCTTGGGAGTAGGGTGTCTTGTGGAGCCAAAGTTGGCAGCAACACCGTGTGGGGATCTAGAAGCACCTAAGCCAGGGATCCACGAGGAGGTCTGGGGACAAGGGCTAGGCCCCATCCCACATGGAACCCCAGGAGGCTGAGATTTGGCCAAAGTCAAATGGGGGCCAGCCATGCTCAGGAACCACACACAGTCCAGGGCCAAAACTCTTTATTCAATGCCCACAATTTCCCAGGCACCGAGGAGATGGCTCCCCTGCACTGATGGGGTGGCTACAGCTCCTCCTTGAGATCCACAGTGGAGTTGGCTAATGTATCCTGGAAAGGTCACAGAGGCCCAGCTGGAAGCTGTGCCCTTAGCCCAACCTTGCCCAGTCAGCCCCATCGCCACCCATCCGAGGGCATGTCCGAGGCCTGGAGCCTTGGAATATAGGCACTCACCGGGAAGGGAGCTGAGGGCTCCTCAGCGGGCTCCTCTTCGGGTAACTTGCCCCCGTTGTCCAGGAACTTGGAGAAGGTCTCCAGGTCTCTGGCACTTTTGTATTCAATCACCTGAGGAGGGACAGGAGGGTTTGGAGGATACACCATGTCCTCCCAGATCATGCCCTGCCCAGACCACACCCACTCTAGACTCCACTGGCTAAGGCCCCACCCTCCAAGACCCTTTCCTGCCCCCAGGCCACACCCTATACTAGGTAGGCCTTGCACTCTAAGACCACAGCCCCTCCCAGAGCGCACCTACTAAAGCCACACGCTCTAAGACAGCGGTTCTCAACCTGGGGGTCGAACGACCCTTTCACAGGGGTCACCTAAGACCATCGGAAAACACATATATAATTACATGTTGTTTTTGTGATTCATCACTGTGCTTTCATTATGTTCAATTTGCAACAATGAAAATACATCCTGCATATCAGATATTTACATGACGATTCATAACCGTAGCAAAATTACAGTTATGAAGTAGCAACGAAAATAATTTTATGGCTGGGGGTCACCACAACATGAGGAAATGTATTAAAGGGCCGCGGCGTTAGGAAGGTTGAGAACCACTGCTCTCAGGCCTTGCCCCATCTCCATCTAAGGACTCAGACATCAGACCAAGGAAGATGGGGTCCAACCTCACCTTCCGACCCTGCCCTGCTGGGAAATACTTGAGGGTGGGAAAGCCCTGCACAGCAAAGCCCTCCAGTTCATTGGCCGTGGCATCGAGCTCGGCAATGATGATGTCTTCGTGGTCCCTGTACTTTTCGGCCAGTGCCTCCCAGGTTGGTGCCATCTCCTTGCAGTGGGTACACCACGGGGCATCTAGGACAGGGGGATGTTTGCACAGCCAGCGGGACCCCATACTGCCCACCTATCCACTGTCTCCTGCCCTCCACACTCACAGAACTTGATGAACACATTCTTGGTTTCGTCAAAAGCCACCTGCTCGAAATTCTTGCCCACAAGAGTCTTGACAGGATGCTGGTCCCAGTCAGGGGGGACCTCTTGACTCAGAAGATAGGGCTGGGGGGAACCGGGCCAGGTGCTTTGTTGGGGATCTCTCCTGAGAGCTGCTGCTCCCACCCCCACACCCTAGGTGGGCCATCCAGCACAGACCTTGACTTTGCCGCTGAGGACTGAGTGGCAGAAGGTGGTGACCCAGGCTGCAGTGACCGGCCCCCTGTCTGCAGGCTTGTACTTCTTGGTGGTCTCCATGTTGATGAAGCGCAGGGTGGGGGCCTCCTCTGCCCTGAGCCCGAAGTACTGTAGCACGTGGTTGTTGTTGGCACTCACGTCCACCGCCACGAACAGCACCTGCCAACAGGGAGTATGCACTGGGCACTGGCCTCCCCCACACCCGCCCCTCAGCCCACCCAGCCAGTACCTGCCCCCGGAATGGGGGAGCTGCCTCCCTAAAGCCTGCCAGCAGCTCCTGGTGCGGGGCCAGTGTCTGGTTGATGAACAGCAGCAAATGGTTGAGGATCCTGGCCGCAAAGATCTTGGGGGACGTCTGCAGGGGTAGGCGGGGCTCATTGGAGCTGGCTCTGTGGTCACCCTCCCACTCCACCCAGTGCCCATTCCTGTACCTGCAGCCCAACTCACCTGGCTGTTGAACTCCGTGACCAGGTGCATGCTGTGCGTGAGGAGGAAGCTGGACAGATCACCCTGGTCCAGGCCCAGCTCCTCATCCACTGGGAAGTCTGCCCGCCCCTCGTCAAACTGGACAACACCCGGTGGGTCAGTATAAGCCATAGTCCTGTCCCTAACCCCTGCCTTGGCCCAGACCCACCTTCTTGAAAAGGACCACAGTGTCCTTGGTGAGGCCAAACTTCTGAAAAAGCTGCGGACGATCAGTGAGGCCAAAGGTCATGTCCAGAGCATCCTGGGCCAGAGCCAGGAAGGTGGCCACGTCCTCATCCTGCAGGTCCTAAGGGGTCCACGTCTGTGAGGCCATCTGGAGCCACAGGCCCCGCTCCCAAGGCCTGGCCCCTGTGCCACTAGCTCACCTGGAAGAAGCCGATGACCACTACGTCGTGGGCATCTATCAATGCTTGGGCGCCCTCTTCATCCTCCAGGCGTGTGGTGCTGGACCCCACCCGCCGCCGCAGCCACTCAGCAATGCCCTCGGCTTCCCGGGGGCCTGTGGAGAGTCCCGTCAGCCTGGGCCCAGCCCCTGGCCCACACCACCGCACACAGGCCTGCCCCTGTACCAGTGTACTCCTCCGGGTTCGTGCGGTTCCCATCGCGGAAGAACATGAGCGTGGGGTACTCGGTCACAGCAAACTCCTTGGTCAGCTCTGGCTCTGAAGGCCCATCCACCTTGGCCAGCCTGGTTTTGGCTGACTCTGCTGCCAGCAGGGCAGCTGCCTTGATGTACTCAGGGGCCAGCGCCTTGCAGTGCCCACACCACGGGGCATCTGGGGGACAGGGCCATGAGTGTCCCTGGCCTCCATGGCCCTGGTCACAGCCCCTGCTCCCGCCTGGCCAGAGCTGGCAAACTTGGGGTCAGTCAGCTCCAGCATGGAGCATGTCCTGTGTACCTCCCTCCTGACTCAGCCACACTAAACCCAAGCACCAGAGGCCAGACCACTCAAAGCTCCCAGGTCAGGAGTGCAGTGGCCAGCACCTTCCAGACAGTGAGTTGGAGAAGAACCTTCCATCGCTGCTCCCTGAGGCCATGCTCCCTGCCATATGCCGCTGACTGAGGCCTGCCAGCTCAAGGGCTTTTACATGTGTAAAGGGTTGTAAGAAAGCCACAGGAGAATATGCAAGGTGTGAGCTTTATCTGGCTCTTCAGTCTAACTGAGGGTCTCCCTTATACCTTTGCCTCCCCTCCCACCTGCTCAAGTTGGACCCCCAGACCAGCTCAGCCCCAAGGCTCTGCCTCAGATGGAGCCAAGTGCATGAGCCAAGTGCATAAGCCCCGCGCGGCAGGGGGCTGAGCACACTGGGTGACACCGGCGGGTCCCCCAGCCCTGCTGACCCTGTGCACTCACAAAACTCCACCAGCAAGGCAGGGTGCTCCTGCAGGGCCCGGCCCAGGGTGCGGTGGCTCAGCACCAGGATCCCATCCTCCTCAGGAACCTCCTCCTTCCCGGGCTCCTCCGAGGGACCCCCTGGCTCCGGCCCCTGGCCCCCCAGGCTCCAGGCCCTGAGCAACAGCAGCAGCAGCACAGACAGGAGCGGGCCGTCCATGGCAGTGCCGGGGCCCGCGGGGCGGGGGCAGATAAGGGGGCCGGGGGCCAAGCAGCGGTGGCCACGTGGCGCCCGGTCCTGGTCGCAGGAAAGATAAGGCCCAAGGCCCCCCCACCCCCGGGGGAGGGGAAGCAGACAGAGGCAACGCTGGGCACTGAGACAGGTGGAGTTTAATAGGGCTGTTCAGGGCACAGCGCCAGGCCCGGGAGGGGGTGTCCCGAGACGGGGCAGAGGGCATGAGGGGTCTGGCCACTGACTGAGGGGGCTGGACAATGCGTGGGGGTCCCTGTGCAGTGACTGACAGAGGCAGAGGGAACAAGGACCCCGAATGGGGAGACTGGTCCTGGGGCAAAGCAGGGGGGTGGGCGCTCAGCTCTTCCAGTCTTGGCAGATGTGGAGGCCCCACTCCCAGGAAAGGTGGTCTGCCCTGTCGTCGTCAGTGAAGAAGGATGTGACCACATAGGTGCCCCTCACCAGGGCGCCTCTCGGCGCCTCCTCCACCGGAGTTACAAACTCATACTCCTGGGCTCTTGGGCCATAACTGCCCACCATGTACACAGCCTTGTCCACTGGGGGAGGAGGAGGGCATCAGGGGCTGCCCTCTGCCCCATATCCCCCCCCCCCGCCCCCCCCCCCCCCCCCGCCACCGCCGCCAGGCCCTTCACAGGCCCTCACCTCGCAGGCCCCTGCGGTAGGTGTGATGCAGACACTTGAGGCCACTGACAATTTCCTTATTGACCTGAGGGACAAAGAGTGTTAAGGGGTCCCTCTGGGAAGCCGATCCTGTGGGTGGCTGGCATCGCCCATGACAGCTGCCTCACCTTAAAGGTGATCTTCACTTTGTAATCAACACCCTCCTTCAGGACGAACACCTGATTTTTCAGTGCAGCCAGCTCCCCTGTCAGGGAAAGTGCAGCTAAGGAACAACCTCTTTCGATGGCAGAGCCCCTGCCCCAGGAGCCCCCTAGGGGGCAGTATCTGTAAAGTCTACGTCAGCGGTTCTCAACCTGTGGGTCGTGACCCCTTTAGGGGGTCAAACCACCCTTCCACAGGGGTTCGCCTAAATACATCCTGCATATCAGATATTTACATTATGATTCATAACAGTAGCAACATTACAGTTATGAAGTAGCAATGAAAATAATTTTATGGTTGGGGGTCCCCACAACATGAGGAAGTGTATTAAAGGGCCGCGGCGTTAGGAAGGTTGAGAACCACTGGTCTACGTGATGGGTCTGAGGACTAGGGTTTGGGCACAGGGTTCTAAGCAGTCTCTACCCCAAAGATCAGTCCGTGGTTTGCAGCAGACGCTTACCTGTGAGGTCCATGGTCATGGGCCCGGGAGCCTGCTCAGACATCAGAGTCAGCCTGGTCACCTGCACGTTGGGCAGGCTTGGGTCTGAGGAGAAATTGGAAGTCTGCTGGATGCACCCCACCCAACCCCCACCCCGCCCCTCTCACACCCATGGCCCGAGCATACCCACGGCCGGCAGCAGGGGACCCAGAAGCACCCGCTTGTACTTGGCCAGGCTCTCATCGTCTGGGTCCAGCTGCTGGATCTCTAGGAGGCTCTTCCTCCCCGGGGCCCGGTACCCTGGCACAGCCTCGTCCAGCACCTCATCTGGCAGCAGCTGCCCCCCTTCCTTTTCTGTCAGAAGGACTGGGGTCAGGGAGGTGAGTGAGCAACTGCTGCCAGCCACCCTGGCATTCACTTGTCAAACGGGAGTCTCCCATCCGATCAGGTGGACCTCCCGCTGCCCGAAGAAACTTAAGGGGAAGCCAGTAGGGGCTCAGGGAGGGAGGGAGTGTGCGATTAGGGAAGAAGGTGTGAGCTCGGAGTGGGAGGTGCATGGGGGCTCAGGGAGAGGGGTGGGCTCTGGGGGTTGACAAAGGCTCACAAGAGCCAAGTGACGTTCCTGGAGGCATCGGCTGCCTTCTCCTGGCCCAGCCCTTCATCTAGGGACTCTGAGGCCAAAGGTGGGGGCAATGAAGACCCCAATGGGGGGCAGCTCCAAGGACTAGAGGCCCCACCATTGAGTGTGACCTCCAAGGTCTTTCCTGGAGCAGGGGCTCTGCCCTCACAGTCCTGAGTCCCCAGTGCTCCGGGGCCTCCTCCCGTGTTCCCACCATGCTCCCGCCCCTATCAGCCTGCTCAGCCAGAGACCCGGGTCTCTGAGGGCCTCCCCCAGTCCTAGGAGTTCCTTCCACCGTGTTCCTGTGGGGGGAGGCGGAGGGGGCTCTCAACCCTCGAGCTTATGCTGGGGCCACCTCCCAGCGTCTCCCAGAGCCCCTTCCTCAGCGGCGCTGGCGCAGGGGTCTCTCTAAGCCCTTCCCCTAGTGTCTTGGGACAGGGTTTGTGGGAGTCCCTGCACACTGCGCTCCTGGCTTCTCAGAACCGCCACACGCCCTGAAGGAGCCCAGCCCCACCCAAGGGAGTAGGCTCTGTGGGGCCGGTTCCGGGGGGGGGGGGGGGGGGGGGCGGGGGGAGGGTCCCCCATCATCCAGGCTTCACAAGCAGACCCGCCCACTCTTGGCTCCTTTACCCGAGTGTTTAGCCCGAAGGAAGCCCCCCACCCTCGCCAGAGCGCTGCCAGGAGGACCGCATCACAAGGTCCCCACGCGAGCCCCCAAAGTTTCCACGAGGGAGGGGCCGGTCCCCACCCCAGACTCAAACCGGCCCCCGCCAGGGCCCCCCCGCCCACGTGGCCGCCCTGGCCCCAACCCGGCCGGCTCACCTCGGGCGCACAGCGCCAGCCGGAGCAGTTCCAACAGCTGCGCCCCCAGCTCGCACGCGTCCAGGCCCAGCATGGTGGCCCGCGGCCCGGCCCCGCCGAGCAGCCGCCGAGGAGCCGCCGCCCGGCTTGGCGCTCAGCCCCGGCGCGACTGCGGTGAGCTCATCCCGGCCGGGAGCGCCCCCCGCGCCCAGCGCCGCGCCCGCGCCGCGCGCCCCCAGCCGCTCCGCGGACCCCGCGCAGCCCCGCAGAGACGCGCGTGTCGCCCGCACCGCGCAGGCACCCGGCCTCCCTGTCTCCGACCCACCGGAACCCCGCACAGCTGCCGCGCACACTGCCGCGGCCACGGTCCCAGCGGCCCACCCGACTGCACCCTGCTCTGGCCACCGGGCTGCCGTACCCCCTCGGCGCCGGCAGGAGTCGGGGGCTCTTGGGGAAGCCCTCAGGGCGGGGCCGGTGGGGGGCTGGGGCGCCCAGTGGAGCAGGTGCGTCCCCCTCCCCATGTCCCCGGGCTCTCATTAGCGGTAAGCAGTGCAGGCTGCACCTGGGGCCCAACAGTCCCCCCCTCCCCCCCCTCCCCATCCTCGGAGCTTCTGTCTGGGCCGAGGGGACTCCCAGAACCGCCTGGCCTTGGGGGCTGGGGGACGCTATGCGTGTCTGCACAGCCTCCTGGCCCTGCGCCCCAGCGGTTACAGCCATCAGCCACAGAGCAACCGAGTACACATGCACAGGCCGGGCCCCACCCACAGCCATTTCTCAGTGTCTACTGACTGGCCTGTGTGGGGTGGTGGGTGGGTTGGGGGTCTCTATGCTTTGGGGACCCGAAGATTCGGAAGACCCTCCTTGTCCTTGGGGAGAAGAGGACACTGATCCGAAACAGAACCAGGTGGTGGAGTGTTGGGGGGGGGGGGCAGAGAAGGGGCTCTGGTCTGACACCTAAACAAACCCTGGGGTGAGTAATGGGAGGCAGCCCCGCGGGGACAGGGCTAAGCTGGACTTCAGACCGGGACAGCTGGTCAAAGGCCTAGGTGTGAGTGGAGCAGGAGGAGGTGGAACAGCCTGCATCCCCTTCTTTCTAGACCCCCTGGGCCCCCCTCTGGCCCCTCCTATTTCTGAGGACACCCAGGGGTTGGACCCAGTCTTGCCCAAAGGAGCCCCTATGTGAGCAGGAGGCCAACAGGCCCTGGGGACTAGGGGGCACTTGGGCTTGGGAGGGACTGTCCTCTCCAAGCCCCACCTGCCCCCGGTCTTCCCAAGGCAGGATTGCACCCTTCTCCTGCCCCCGGCTGGGGCCCAGGTCCTTCTGGGCCCCATTCCTGCTGCCTTTCCTCTGGGGTAGGCAGGGTCAGTCAGGGAAGATACTTGTCCCCAGGTGGGGGACAGCTCTGGCCTCCCGTGGCCTTCAGCCTCGGTAGATGCCCACTCATCCAGAGAGGACAGCCAGGCCTGGGTCCGGCCTGACCTCACCTGTGTGGGTGGGGCTGGGTGGGAGGCGTTCACTGGCATCTAAGGCAGGATGGTAACCTGGCTGGGCTAGGAGCTCCCTCCAGTCCCCCCACCCCAGCTCATGCTGGGCCTGTCCTCACCAGCACTGGGAATGGATTCAGATCACAGGTGGAAGGCTGCTGGCCAAAGGCTGACCCCATCCTGCCCTGCCCCCAAGCCCCTGAGGGGAGAGGGAAGGAGGGGTGTGCCACGCCAGCAGGACCAAGGGTGATCCCGAGGGGGGGGGAGTGAAAGAGAATGAAAGCTGGGTCTCGGTGGGACGCTGCTCCCTGATGAGGAGACAGCGCCAGCGCCCACAAGCCGTGTCTTTATTTCATAGCAGATGCCACGAGGCAAAGCAGGGGCGTGATCACATTGTTTACAGCATTCTCGTGAGCTCCAACCTCACTCAACTACATGCACCCGAACTCTATCACAAGGCACGTGGGGCCACGTGTTTGGACCATAGGTTCAAGTTACAACCACAGCCGTTGGCTATAATTGTGCTGGGAGGGCCCTGCCCTCCAGCTGGGACTTGCACGTGGCAATGAGAGGACCCTGTCCTTTCATTAGTCTGAGGCTTGAACCTGGCCAAAACACCGCAACCGCGCCCCACATCTCCCCCTTTACTTTTGTTTTTAAACATGCCTATCTACATTATCCAAATACTCTAAATAAATTATTCAACATAATCAAAACATCAAAACAAACCCCTGGTTATTAAGAAAACCATAAACAGCAATGTTAACAAGAGAACAAAACTCTGGCTAATAACAAAGCAATACCAACGCAAAACCAAGTTACAAACACGTCAACATTTTGAGGATATCTTACTCAAAGTCCTCGGATTTTAGCTCCGCAAGATTTTACAGAAAACTGACAGTTCACCAACACTAGCACAGCTTCCACTTGCTTTTTTAACATTTGCTTGGCCTCAGTGGCCATCTTCTTCAGCTGACTCCATGTTGATATCTCTGTCACTAGCGTAGTAAGATGTCGCTGATGCAAAACCAGTCCCCTGGACCAGGCTGTTCAGGCGGTTGACCTCGGTACTGAGTCCGCACCAGTCCCAATCAAATCGGCCTCATCCACGCAATTGGAAGTCTGGTCCCTTTACAGCTTCTTTCTTTATCCGCTGCTGCATGGAAACGAGCAACCCTCGGTCCTGCAGAGCCGGAGACTTCCCACTCTGAGTCTGGCGTCTCACAGGGACCCAAAGTCCCAGGGAGCGATCTGGTCACACAAGCAAAGATAACCAAAGTCTAGAAACACTGCAACTGCTGCAAGAGCTTACAATCTAGGTCTAAAATAAAAATTACTTCCTTAAACAACGTCGACCACAGCCATTTTTTACTTTACAGTGGCTTAAACAAAGCCGAGGAGATTTCCACCTTATATTTCCTAATTACTGCTTATTTCTACTTATTTCTCTATATCTATAGCTTATTTCCTACCATGTATTTTTACAGCTTATTTCTTACCGCTTATTTTCTACAGCTTATTTCTACTTATTTCTCTATTTCTACAGCTTATTTCTACTTATTTCTCTATTTCTACCGCTTATTTCTACTTAATTCTCTATTTCTACCGCTTATTTCTACTTATTTCTCTATTTCTACCGCTTATTTCTACTTATTTCTCTATTTCTACCGCTTATTTTCTAACGTCTACCGCTTCTACAGCTCATTTCTTACCGCTTAATTTTTACAGCTTATCTCCTGAGTTTCCCAAGTTTTACACCGAGCTAACATTACCACACTTCGGCTCCCTACCTTTTTGTTTTTTGGCCTTATCTCACTTTTGCTCTTTAACACATTGCGTACCGCATAGAAATCTCTAAGACATACGCCAGGGACCGCACGTTTTGGGGCAAACTGCACGTTATTTAAATCATCATAACTACAGATCATAATGCACTTTAGGTGTTGTTTTTCAATAATTATAACATTTTTATTTACAAAAACAATTAAACAATTGAAGTTCCTAGTACTTCTTTAACGTATGGTACTGCGTAAAACATTTTCCTCTGTGAAGAGGGACCAAACAAAATTTACATAAGTATCTAGATTCGCTCCTTTTCCATGGGCGGCACAAACTGCAGGCTCTCGTAGGAAATTTTTTCTTTCCACTCGCTGGGACACACGTAGGTTCATGCTGCTTCATATCACCTGACAACCTTTGGGGTGGATCTTTACGAGGTGCTCTCCTTGCACCCCCAGGGGAAGGGCTGGACAGATTTGTCTCTGGTTCCAGAGAGCCTTCATTATTGTCATCCGTTATCCAGTCTCTCGCCACCGATAGCAGAAACTGTTTATACTTCATTTTTGCTTGTGGACTGAGGACGTTGTACACTCTAAATGAATTGAAAAGTCCACAGTTTATAAGGTACAGCACTACTTTTTTTGTCCATTTCATTGTTTTCCTTAGAATGGAACAACACGAAAGGAACTGATCCGCACGGTCAACGCCTTTCATGTGGGCATTGTATTCCTTGATGCAGGTAGGGTTTACAATATTCTCTCCCGTTTTTTTGTTTTTGTTTTTGTTTTTATTAGTTAAGGTATTACAAATGTGTCCACATCCCCCCCCATTAACCCCCAACCTCCCCTTCTCTCCCGTTTTTCTATTTTTTTTTTTTCCTGCTGTCGAGACAGAAGTGTCATGGATCGTTGATATCATTCGGACAACCCGCTTGTCTTTCCATGCTAGGAGAAGAATATCGCCTTTTCTGGAAAATATGATGTCACCTTTCTTCATTCTTGATGTTTTCATTTCCAAATTTGGCGGTAAGCCTCTACTCTCCCTAATAGTCCCACAGACTCTAGTTTTGTTCTGTAGCAGCAATTCAGCAGTAGATGTAGCATTGTAATAATTATCCTGCTAAATATGGTGCCGTATGCCAAGATAGGGTCCAAGGACTGAAAGAACAGTTTCTTGCAATTTCCTTCCTTCAGCAGTGTATATCTCCATATTGCAGATATAGCCGGTGTCACTCTCGCACACCATCCGAACAAGTAAACCGTATTTTGCTATTTTCCCTGGGTTGTATGTGCGAAATTTGAAACGTCCTCTCCATGGAATCATTCCCTTGTCCAAAGACAACTGTTGCTTTGGTTTGTATATTGTTCGAAATTTATGCAGGAAATAATCCAGCACAGGTTGGATCTTGAAAAGTCTCCCCGAGCGACTGTCCATTTTGGCGTTACCATTGAAATGCCAGAACGTCCATATTTGCTCAAATCTATGCCGACTCATTGTCTGTGGAAATATAGGGGTACATATCAAAGGATCTGTTGACCAATAGTCTTTCAAGCTATCTTTTCTTGTTTGACCCACCAGAATCATTAGGCCAAGGAATTTCTTGATGTCCTTCTGTGTAACCGGAGACCACGTTAGTGTTCTAGATGGTGTTTTGCGTTTCACTGCGGTTTGATCGTGATGGTTGGACAGCTCTTTGCACAGCATCTCCAACAATTCATCACCAAAAAAGAGATTGCTCACAGAGGGTACGGAGTCACACTGAGGCGGAAATGTAGTGACCCCAGCATGACCTTCAAACATTTGTAAGCGTGGTGGTGTGTCAATTTCAGACCAACAATTATCAGTGGCTTCGTCAGTGTCGGAATCACTTGAAAGCAGCGCCACCTTGCGCTTCCCTATAGGTCTAATAATTTCACTGTCAGTAGAATCAGTAGAATCGTCTCCGGAGTCGTCAAAACAGTCATCCGCATCTTCGATCTCACTAGGAATATCTGATAAATTATCGTTAAATACTTCCGGAAGTGTATCAGTTTCTTTGGTTTCCTTCCTTTTTCTGAGAGAGGGCATTTCTAAAAGCGCCAGGAACTTGAAGACGAAGACTATTCGAAAGACCAAAATACAATGTAACTGCAATGCTTTACGGGTTCGTGCGATTATATAGTTTTTCGTAGATTGACCTGCACGGTTTCCACCAATGAGATCGCTTCATTCAATGTGGACTGTGCCGCGCCAGCACGGCCAAGGGTGTCTCTGAGTGGGGGGGAGGGAAGGGTTAAGGAAAGACAGACAAGAGAATGAAAGCTGGGTCTCGGTGGGACGCTGCTCCCTGAAGAGGAGACCGCGCCAGCGCCCACAAGCCGTGTCTTTATTTTATAGCAGATGCCACGAGGCAAAGTAGGGGCGTGAGCACGTTGTTTACAGCATTCTCGTGAGTTTCAACCTCACGCAACTACATGCACCCGAACTCTAGCACAAGGCACGTGGGGCTATGTGTTTGGACCACAGGTTCAAGCTTACAACCACAGCCGTTGGCTATGATTGTGCTGGGAGGGCCCTGCCCTCCAGCTGGGACTTGCACGTGGCAATGAGAGGACCCTGTCCTTTCATTAGTCCGAGGCTTGAACCTGGCCACAACACCGTAACCATGCCCCACAGAGGGGGCCTCTTGTTTCCAAAAAGCAGAAAGGCACCTGTTTGTAGCCCTTAAAATGGTCCCAGCAAAGGAGGTCTGGGGTGGGGATGGCCAAGGAGTTGGAGGAAGGAAAGGGCTGGAACTGGCCAGTGTGTGTGTGTGTGTGTGTGTGTGTGTGTGTGTGAGTGTGAGTGTGTGTGATCCTTCCTTCCCAATAGAGGGGTCCCTGCCAGTTCCCTAACTGGCCCCACCCAGGTCCTGTGCCGCGGATGGGAAGTGAGCTACCTTCCACCTCCCCCCAAGTCTCAAAGGACCCCTACCCAGCACCCTGTGCAGCCACAAGATGTCATAGGTGCTGATGACATCCCCACGATGACACCCAGGACATCACACAATCGCAAGCACACAGCCTAGGGCAGTCAGACCCCTTGTCTGACCCCACAGCTCCCTCCACCGCTGGTCCCTGCAAGGGTTACAGTAAACCCATTGTCCCCCACCCCAGCCCACCTTCACCAAAAGTTCCCTCTCCTGAAGACCCTCCCCCACAGTGCCCCCTCCCCTTCTCTGATCTCTCATCCTCTCCCTGAGTCCTCACCCCGTCTCTGAGCTCCCCTTCCTCTTCCTGAGCCTCTACCTTCTCACAAGACCCTCCCTCTAAGCCCACATCTTCGGGTCCCACCTCAAGACACCTTCCCCAGTCACGCAGCTCCTAGCAAGTCCTCCCCACAGGGGCCTCAGTTTCTCCCTACGGTAGGGAGAGGCTCCTTGGGGTGGCTGGCCCCTTCCTGGACCCCAATGGGACCGGGGACCAACTCCAGACCAGGGAGGGTTAACTCGGATGTGGGGCGGGGCAGGGCGGGGCGGGGCAGGGCATCTCGGATGCCAATACCCCCCAGGGCTTCACCCCTAGCCATGGCTGCCGGCCCCGCGTCCCATGGTGGGTGCCCCCGTGCGCAGATGCCTCACCTAAGCAAGGTGGGTGCTGGGTGGGGGCCCTGCCGTCCCCAGGATTTCTGGCATCAAGGCCGGGAGGGCAGGAGAGGAGTGGGTGCAGGTGGGTGAGCGCAAGTGTAGACTTGGACCTGGGGATGTTGGGCTTTTGTGGGCCGGGGTGAGGCAGCAGAGACCCCAAGCGCTGGGGGGTTAGGGGAGTGGCCCCTCGCCTTCGCCCCGCCCCCACCCATGGCCAGCAAGGCCTGAGATCCCACCATCTGTGTGTGTTAATCTCTGCGCACACTGATCCGGGCAACCAGGTCGGTGGAGTCAGGCTGTGGGATGGGGGAGGCTGGCTGGGGCGACCCCGCACGTGTCCCCTTTGCCCAGATGGAGCGGGTGGTCGTGAGTATGCAGGACCCCGACCAGGGCGTGAAGATGCGGAGCCAGCGGCTGCTCATCACAGTCATTCCACACGCTGTGACCGGTGAGGCTGGGGTGTGGGGGCTGGGGGCTGCCGGCCCTGCCTTGGCCTCTGCCACACAAGCCACACAATCTCTGCTACGCAGGCAGCGACGTCGTGGAGTGGCTGATCCAAAAGTACTGCATCTCAGAGGAGGGTAAGGGGGTCAGCTCACTGCCCATCCTGGCCCCCAGCCCACCCTGGGGTCCCAGGGCTCATCGGGCGGGGCCTTCTGGGGCTCGGCAGTCTTAGGGCCAAGCCAAGTGAGCTGGGGAAGGGGACTCATCCCCGGAGACCCTGCTCACCTCTCCCCATGAGGATTTGCCACCTGCCTTAACCTCCCAACCCCACCCAGAGGCCCTGCACCTGGGCGTCCTCCTGGTCCGGCACGGCTACCTGTACGCACTGCGCGAGCCCCGCAGCCCCGGGCTGCAGCTTGACGAGACGCTCTACAGGTTCCAGGTCAGGCTCAACTGGGAGCAGGTGGGAATCCAGCAGCCCAACTAGTGGGAACTTCTGGAAGGGGCGGGGCTGTCCCCTCCCCAAAAGGCCTGCACTGGAAGCTTCCTGTGGTGGAAGGATCCAGTTCAGGGGAGGGGCCACAGCAGGGCCTCTGTCGGGGTAGCACCTACGGGGGATTTTGCCGGCTTCCCCTGGTCCCGCGGCCCCCACTCCAAGGAGGAGGCTTGAGGGGCCTGAGGACAGGGTCCCTGCACCTCAGTGTGTCTGTGCCGCAGCCATGATGGAGCTCCCTGCCTGCCCTCCCTCCCAGCACAGACTGCGACTAGATCTGGGGCTTGGGAAGGCCCCACCCACCCCTCCCTGGAGTGAAGGCCCCTGGAGCTCAGGGTCAGGGCCCAAGGGGCGAATGGAGCTCAGTTCCAGGTGGGAGAATGGCCGGTGGTCAGCCGAGCCTCCGGGCCATGGGCAGGCAGGCAGATTCTCAGGCTCCCATCCCCAGCCAGCCCGGTCTCTTCCCAAGGGAGCTGAGCGGGTGGGGACAACTCCTGGGGCGGGGAAGGCCCAGGAGGCCCCAGATACCCCTTGTTCCCGCATGGCACCAGACACCCTATTTCTGGACGAGCACTCTGTGGCCAGCGGCGGAGCTTGACTATGGTGAGTGAGGAGGGCGGGCCAGCCTGGGACAGCTGCCGGGACTGTGGCTCTGGGTGATGCACGGGGAAGGGGGGGCAGAGTGCTCCTCTGCAGCCTGCTCCCTGTCCTTCCAGCCATCTACCTGGCCAAGAAGAATATCCGAAAGCAGGGGGCCCTGGTCGACCATGAGAAGGTGGGACCCCCACCCCAGGCTGAGTCCAGCCAGAGGAGCCCACGCCCCACTCATGTCCCCAGGGCCTCACAGTTGGACTCAGAGCGCACAGCCCAGGCCCCAGGATGACGCAGGCGCACAAACACGCCATTCCCCGTAGTGGCTCAGTGGGGAGGAGGGAGGGCCCATGCCCCGCCCCTGAGCTTGGCATGGAAGGGGCTTAGCCACTGGGGCCCTGAACGCCACCCCCAGGAGCACTATGACCAGCTGCACAGGAAGATCAACCACACGTGGGACCTGGTAGTGATGCAGGCGAGAGAACAGCTGCGGTGAGAGACCCCCCCGCCCGCCTGCCCAGCGGGCACAGAGCCCAGATTGCCCAGGAAGCCTAGAGGCACTTAGCCGGGCACTGGCAGCTATGGGTCCAGAAACAGTGCCAGGCAGGCTTGGCTGCCTGCCCAGGCCCTGGTCAGAGGGTGGGTGTGGGAGGTGCTATGGTGGGTGCCTGTTCCCCCAACTCTGCTTCCTCCCCCCGCCCCCAGGGCTGCTAAGCAGCGCAGGAAGGGGGACAGGCTGGTCATTGCGTGCCAGGAGCAGACGTACTGGCTGGTGAACAGGCCCCCGGTGAGCCCTGGTGTGGGGAGGTCCCGCCGGAGTCAGTGTGTGCGCCTCACATGGTGCCCTGGGTGACAGGAGGGTCTAGTTCTGTGGCTCATCAGAACCTAGAGAGCACGAGGCCAGGACTAAGGCTGCCCCCACTCACAGACCACGGGGCAAAACGCTTCTCTCTAGGTCTAAGGGAGAGGCCTGCGGAAGCTGTGGGGGGACCTCAGGACCCTAGCGATGAGGCAAGTGGGGGCGAGGCTTAGCTGCAGCTTCTGGGGGTGCTGGTCGGAAGTCAGGCCTGGCCCAGAACCGCAGTCCTGGCAGGTGGTTTGAGGTCCCCTGACTGTGTGGGGCCGTGGAGAGATGTCTGGGTCCATGTGGCAGTCACAGCAAACCATGAACGGAAGCTACTCCTGTGGGAAAAAAACCCAAGGAAATAGATTCTGGGAGGCACCCACAGGCCCGATGACCTCATCAAGTGTGTTTGGGGGTATCTCCGGGAAAATGACTCAATCTTCCATCTGGGGGCCAGGCAGTGGGCCGTGGGAGGAAGGTGGAGTGGGCATGGCCCCAAGGCTATGTGCATGAGCTGAGGCCGAGGCCCAGGAGTGGCCAGGCCAGCGATGTGGGTGAGGTGGGCGTGGAGGGGCCAGCGATGTGGGTGAGGTGGGCGTGGAGGGGCCAGCGATGTGGGTGAGGTGGGCGTGGAGGGGCCAGCGATGTGGGTGAGGTGGGCGTGGAGGGGCCAGCGATGTGGGTGAGAGGTGGGCGTGGAGGGGCCAACGATGTGGGTGAGGTGGGCGTGGAGGGGCCAGCGATGTGGGTGAGGTGGGCGTGGAGGGGCCAGCGATGTGGGTGAGGTGGGCGTGGAGGGGCCAGCGATGTGGGTGAGGTGCCTGTGGAGGGGCCAGCGATGTGGGTGAGGTGGGTGTGGAGGGGCCAGCGATGTGGGTGAGGTGGGTGTGGAGGGGCCAGCGATGTGGGTGAGTGGTGGGTGTGGAGGGGCCAGGAGTGGCAGCTGGAGCCTCTGGGCAAGTGGACACGAGGGTTCTGACTTGGGCGGAGGGAGGGAGAGGCCAGACCCGCATGTGTGTGTGAGGACAGGTGGCAGGGCGAGTGGGTTTGGGTGAGTGGAACTGTCTTAGGTGCTTAGGTCTCTGGCTTGAGCAGTCAGGTCTGTGAAGGTGAGCTTGGCCTGGAGAGGAAGAGTGGGGAGGTTTGGGGAGAAAAGTCAAGGATTTCGCTCTAGTGGCAAAGCCAGGCTGGGACGACACATGGATGTGGAACTCAGGAGCTATGAGCTGGGTGAGGGGCTGGAGAGAAAACCCAGAGTGGCTCTGAGAGGTGGTCACTTGGGGTGGGAATGGGCAGAGAGGAGACTCAGCTTTCTGGGTTCCTCTGGGTGTCAGTGTCCAGGTCAAAGGGTGACATGTGGGCTCAGAGCTTCAGTATATGGGAGTGAGTGGGGGGCAGGAACATAGCTCTAGGGTGGGGTCTCAGCAGCCCATCTGAGCTCCCTGCCTCACCTGCTCTGCCCTCTGCAGCCTGGGGTGCCGAGTGTGCTGGAGCAGGGTCCAGGGCGGGGCTCCGGCATGGCCAGGCGAGTGCAGATGGTGAGACCCTGCGGCAGGCACGCCCCACCCCCACCCATTCCCCACACCTACACACATGCCCCACCCCTCACCCCTGCACCCCGGCCTCCTGCCATCCCCATCCCCAACACCCCCGTGCACACACCCCTCCCCGCCCCCACTCCACCACTCTGGGACTACCTGGGGGCTTCCCCCATCTGTGCATTCATCTGTCCATCCAGATGGCACTTGATGCAGCCACTCCATGTGCCCTGTCCCACTCCTGGCCTCATTCTCCCCTCACCCTAGCCCCCTGCCCAGCCCCTCTGCTAACTCTTCTCTCACTTCCCACCTGCTGCTCTGGGTGAAAGTAAGTGCAATGGGCCCTGGGGGGGGGGGGCCTCTCTCTCCCAGGCCAGGCCAGCCACCTCCCCAAGGCTCTGCTGGCCTCGGGAACCCACTGCACCAGGACAGACGTGGCCACACTGTGTCGCAGCAGAGCCCCCTGTTCAAACCCTATGATGCCCCACACAGAACAGATACACTTAGTACCTTCCTGATGGAGCTGCTTCCTGAGTTCAGAACCGTAAGCTCAGGGCCACAGGCTTATAATTTCCCACTTTCAGGTCAGCCCAGGAGGCTGACCCAGAACTTGGGAATCACAGGCACTGAGGGTGCCTCGCCTCTGCTCGCTGACCAGGGCGGGGTGTGCAGGGCTCGGAAGGGGCAGCCAGTCCCATGGCCACGCTCCCCCACCTGGCCCCCGAGGAGGTGGCAGGCGGGTTCCCAATTCCGAACACGATGAGTCAAGCACAGCCAACAGCCTGGGTTCCTAGCGTGACTCGTCGCAGTATTTCGCACCTGTGTGTTGTTTTTAAAAAGTAATGTAAGCACATTTGAAAGTATGGGGTAGTGATCATTGGGGCACCTCAAGGCAACTTTGAGAACGTTCTGGAAACCTCCACCTAGCGCTCCCTGAAAGCTTCCTGGGCAGTCAGACCCTGCCATCAGAGGAGGGCGAGACAGGGGCCTGGGCCGCGGTGGCATGTCGGTCCCCAGGGGCCTGCCTTCTAACTATAGCGTCCCCTGGCCCTTCCAGACCAAGAACACGGATTTCTACAAGCAGGAGGTAGGTCCTGGGGCCCGAACAGAGGAGCGGGCTGGCCGACGCCCCGCCCTGGCCCTGCTCACAGGTTCCATGTCGTAGATCGAGTGCTGCACGAAGGCCCTGGGCAGGATCCGGGTGAAGTCCTCTGTCTGCCTTGAGGCGTGAGTGAGATGGGGGTGGCAGCTGGAGACCCCAAGCCCAGAGCCCAGACCCTTCCTCTAGTGCCCTTGACCCATAAGCCCTCCCTGCACTGGCCTCTGGCACCATCCCCACCCCCAGGTACCTGAAGTTCAGCAGTCAGCACCGCCCGCATGACCCCATCATGTCGGGGTGCCTGCCCAGCAACCCCTGGATCACAGATGATGACACCTACTGGGCCATGAACGCACCCAAGTGAGCTCAGGGTGGGAGAGGGGGTCTGCAGCTGCTCTTCCCAGCGGTGCCACCCACCCCACAGTCCTCGTGCTCCTGACACCCCACCCCCCCCTCCAGTGTGGCTGCACCCACGAAGCTCCGCGTGGAGCGGTGGGGCTTCAGCTTCCGGGAGCTCCTGGCAGACCCTGTGGGCCGGGCCAATTTCATGGACTTTCTCAGGAAAGAGTTCAGCGGTGAGATGCCCCCACCTCCTGTTTGAGGCCCCGGTGAGGGAGGTTTTTGCCTGGGACTCCCCCCACCCCCATCCAGGTTTCAGTCAGCCCTGGCTGCAGCTCAGGGTGGGCCTGACCTGGTGCTTGGACCCCCAGCCGAGAACCTCAGCTTCTGGGAGGCGTGTGAGGAGCTGCGCCACGGAGGGCAGGCCCAGATCCCCACCCTGGTGGACTCCGTGTACCAGTGAGTGCGAGAGGTGGGCCGGGCAGGCCAAAGGGCAGGCCTGTGGAGCCTGGACCCACCGGGGCTGTCCCCCGTCCCCGCGCACAGGCAGTTCTTGGCCCCGGGCGCTGCCCGCTGGGTGAACATCGACAGCCAGACGATGGAGCGGACCCTGGAGGGCCTGCGCCAGCCCCACCGCTACGTGCTGGAGGACGCCCAGCTGCACATCTACATGCTGATGAAGAAGGTGAGCACTTCCTCCCGTGACTGTAAAGCCATTTCCACACTTCCTGTGTGTAGATATTCCAGGAAGTTCCTCTATAGGACATGCTTTTATTGATTTGAGAGAGAGAAACATCAATGATGAGGAAGAATCATTGACTGGCTGCCTCCTACACGCCCCCAACTGGGGATCGATCCTGCAACCCGGGCACATGCCTCTGACTGGAATGGAACCTGGGACCCTTCAGTCCGCAGTCCGACGCTCTATCCACTGAGCCAAACCAGCTGGGGCCCATGTCAGTTCTTACTCTTACGTGATATTCAGAGGTCTCTGATGTGTCCCGCAGTCTGTGGTGACTGCCTTGCTTCCCGGTGTGATACTGGCAGGTTCATCCTGCTCCAGACCTGGGCCATTTCCCTCAGCCCTGGCCCTTTTTCAGGGTGTTCAGAAACCTTGACCTACACACCAGGTGTGTTCGTGCCCCTGGGGTGGCCATCATTTCCCGCCTTTCAGTGGACAGAATTAGGAAATATGTGTTTAAAAGCATGTATTGGAACTTCATACTGACACTTGTACTTCAGGTTCAGGATTCGCCTTTCTCTACCTCCCTGATCTCTCTCCTCTCGCACTGAAAATCTTTGCCGACAAGGCTAACAAATTACTCTGCTTCTCACAATCCGCTCAGCGGTCTGAGCTGAGCGACAGCACCGTTTACCACACCCGCTGGCAGGGCTTCCTTCTCTCCCTTGGTCCCTCATATGTGCCCTGTTCGGGACGCCCTCTGAACGGCCCTGTCATTACTGCGGTTAGGATGGTGTCACCCCTGGGTACCCAGCTCCAATTACGACCCTTCACTCTCAATGCTTGGGGATTGCTTACTTACTTTATAATTATGTGAAATAGCTACAGTTTCAAAACCCAATCTGTAAAGCGGGGTAAATTCAAATCTTCATTGCTGCCCCCTACCTTCTTCCCAAGATAAATTTCTATTTATCTTTTTAAAGTATAACCAATTAGATTCGCAGATTCTTCTCCCACTTAACTGTCTACTGTGCAGTTTCTCTTGCCCTGGTCGGCTCTGTGTCCTCGCCCTCACTCTACGGGGCAGACAGCTGCTCTGCGTTCCCTCGCGGGGGCACCCCGGTTCACTCCTCCCGTGTGGGTGCCGGCTCTTGCTCATCTTTGGCTGTTACACGGCCCACCTGGAAGGGAGCCCAGGTCGCTCTGAGTCAGCTGACCTGGTCAGGGCAGGTCTTGGGTGGCCGCCTCCAGCACTGTCCACCGGGGGCTCCGAGGGTCAGAGCAGGGGCAGGCTGCAGCGGGGGAGCTGAGAGGGAGGAGGCGGAAGGCGGAAGGGCTGACCACCATTTCTTACAGGACTCCTACCCGAGGTTCCTGAAGTCGGACATGTACAAAGGCTTGTTGGCAGAGGCCATGATACTCCCGGAGACAAAGCGACGGTGAGCCTGGGTGGTGCCGTGCCCAGGAGTTGGGAGGCGGGACTCTTGAGGCCGCCCTGCTCTGAGGCCCCTTCTCGCCGACAGAGTGTTCCCATTCATGTGGAAGCCACGGCATTCGAGCCTGAGCCCTGCTCTCCCTCCTGCTTCTGCTTCAGTGGAACCTGTAGCTGCTGCAGGTGGCCCTGGGGGTGCTGAGGGGGAGGCCTAGGTGGGCCTGAGCCTGGAGGAGGAGGTTCCACCCCTCGCCTCTCACCACCTTCTTCTCACCCAGGGTCCTGGCAGCTGCCGAGACCCCCAGCATGGGCATCCCCTAGTGCACAAAGGGTGTGGCCTTGCTGTGGGGCACACAAATCAGATTTCCCAGAAGGGATTGGGCCCGGTGCTGACTCCCAGGGAGGGGGTGTCATTGGCCGAGCTTGGGTCACCTGGAGAAAGGTGGGACGAGATGGGCAAACCAGAGCAAGGCCACGCTCCTGGCATGTGGCAGTCTTCAGCTCCTGGTGCCCACCCCCATCTCCAGACCACTACATTAGCAGGCAAGTACCTGGGAGCCAGAGGTAGCCAGTAGGAGCACTTGTCACATGGTGAGGAAATGCAGGCTTTGCAGCTAACTTACCCACTCCACTTCCTCAGGGTGACCCCCTGGGGATCTGCAGAGCTCCCTGGATTTCACTGGGGCTGAGCTCAGCTTTCCAATGAGTACAGAGCTGTCTCCACAGGTACTGCCCTGTCACTGCCGCTGTGCATGTCCCAGGCCTGTCCGAAGGTGCACCTCCGTTGTGAAGGACACCGCTCCTTTGGGGGTACAGCTCTGACGGCTCAGCTGAGGCAGCGCCCCACCTCACAGAGCTAGGGCTCCTGCCCCTTCTTGGCACAGAAATAAAAGACCCTCAGCCCAGGGAGCTAGTCGGTTAGTGTCCTGATACACCAAGGTCGTAGGTTTGACCCCTGGGCAGGGCACACCTGAGAATGAACCAATGAATACTAAGTAAGTGGAACAACAAACTGATGTTTCTCTCTAAAATCAATAAAGAAAAAAGAAAAGAAAGGCCATTGGCCCTCACTCTGTGCTCACATGCTGTGGTCCAAATCGTGGTGTGTGTGCACCTGTCGTGTGTGTGTGCGCACGAAGCATGCAGCGGTGAGGGCGGTGGTGAAAGACGTGGGGAGTTCAGGTGTCATGGGAGGTCTGTGTGTCCACAGAAGAGACCAGCCCCGGGCTGAACTCGGGTTGCACACCTGTGGGTGCTTGGTCTTTGGCCACAGCCAGGAACACTGTCTGCTCTGAGGCACAAGGATGCCCAGGCTCCTGGGACGGAGCCCATCGTCTCCTGGGCAGGTCGTGTCCTAAGGCTGGGGAATTCCAGGTAGCGCGGCACGGAACCCATGGGCCAACTGCTTTACTTACAAGTCCCGGGTGCGGGAGGCCCACTGATGAGGGCACCCCCTGGGTGCGGCCCCCTAACTGCTGCTCACTGTCCCGGGACCCAAACTGGGTGGCCCTTCCCCACAGCCAGCTCCTCTGTCCAGGGCTGTGAACCCCAACCTGGGCCCCGAGAGGCCTTGGGCTCCAGCCCCCAGCCCTTCTGGCTCCAGGTGATTTTCACCTGCAGACCTGTCACACAGGACCATTTTGGGGGGGCAGGGACTTTGGGGTTACAGCGAGTTTTCGTATTTAAATGTCCACAGGAAATGCCTACAGGATTCTCTAAAACGTCTCCCTCATCACTTTGGTACCCAAAGCTGCATCTCACTGAAGCCTCCCACCTGGGCCCCTCCTGGGCAGCTGCCAGAACCCACCTCCAACCCCTCCCTGGCCAGCCCTTGGAAGACACCGGGGTGCCGAGGGAGCCCTGCACTGCCTGTCCCAGGTGGGAGCACACTCATGCCCGTGGGCCGGGTTCCTGGCTTGCTGTGGGTGCCCAGGGAGGGTCCTCACACCCGAGATGCACGTGGAGGCTGTGCTGAAAAAGGCCTCTGGGCCCTTAGTGTCTCATCTGGCAGGAGTGTGGGGGGCACCCCGAGAACACAGGGGTCCCGCACCTCCTCAGCCATCTCTCCCATCCTGGCCCATTTCACCCCCGGAAGCAGACAGAGAGGAGGCGCACACGTGCCCGCTGGGCTCTCTCAGCGAGTGCAAACGTTTATTCTGGTTCCTTCCGCGCTACCCAGTCGGCAGGCTGCGCCGCACAATGCACTGCAGCCCCGGGCGCAGCAAGGCGCAGAGGTGAGTCCTGCGTCAGGGACACCAACGCTGCCGACGTCCCAGCACCAGGAAGGGGGGAGCCGGCTACGCCTAGGGGTACAGGGACTCCGGAGGGACAAGCAGCTCCAGTGTGTGTCAAGAGGGTGCAAAATGCCCCGTGTGCGTCCTAAGGCAGTGCCTTGGGAAAGTCACGGCACAAGCACCAGCACAGGTGTAAACTCCCCTCAGGGCGTCCGTGAGCAGTGCACCCGTCGTGGCCTACAAGCCCCCTTCTCCATGAGCCGGCCAGAGGGGCTCCGCTCCCCAAGGCAAGACCCCACCAGCCACGCTCATCTTCCCTCCCTGCTCTGGGAAGGGCCGGGGGCCGGTACTGCTGCCCTGAGACCACTCAGGGACCACCACCCTCTGAGCTCCAGGACCCAGGGGACAGTGCAGAGAGCATGAGCTCAGGTGGGACGTGGGGAGGGGACTTCTGCAGGTCGGGCCTGGGCTCTTCCCAGAGGGAGGCCACCGTGAAGGCAGCTGGCCTTCAGCATGTGACCCCAGTGGGCAGATGAGGACACGGCGTGCTGGGCAGGACAGAGGCCTGGGTGTCCCTTTCCCACCCGTGTCCCTGGGTACATAGGAGACCCTGTGGAGTGTGGCCAGGCTCAGGAGTGGGAGTCAGTGTACAGAGCAAATGAACGAAGGGCCAACTTCCCAGGATGTTTAATGTCAGCAGCTGGAGCCTCTCGTGCTCTGACCACTGTGTATCTAGGCCTCGCTCCGGTACCGCAGGCGGGAGAGCCGGTCCCTGATGTCCTGGTCGCTGTCAGCCCCACCCTCGGTCAGGTGGACCACCCTGCTGCTCAGGATGAGGTCCTGTACCTTGTGCTTGGCCATGGAGACCAGGCCGGGTGCATCCGGGCTGGCCGGGCCCGTGAGGAGGATGCAGGCGGCGTGGCGGCCTGGCTCCAGCAGGGCCGCTGTGGAGGACAGAGCCGTCAGGGGTCTTGGGACCAGACACAGTGGAAGTGGGTGGGGCTCAGGGCCACACCGAGGCCGCACTCACCTTGGAAGGCAACGATGTTGGCAGAGACGTTGGCCAGCTCCAGCAGGACGCCCGGCAGAGTGGGGTGAAACATGTAGAGGCTGTGCTGGGTGTCTCCCGGCTCCTAAAATGAGAACCAGCGATGGGGCAGGAGGCTGACCAGGCTGCAGCCACCTCCGCATCTGGGCCGAGAAACCAAGGGTGTGCTCTGCTCTGGGCCTGGCAGCTGGGCAATGCTGTGCTCATTGCTTATGGGACACTCGACACACTGACCACAGCCAGAGCTGTGTCCACTGGGCACCCCCAAACGCCAATCTGAACCCTGCATCTACCTTCTCTACCCTTCTTCCGCCATCCTGACCCTGATCCTCCTCAGCACCCTCCACCTGGAACTCGGCCGCCTTCCCCAGTTCACTCCACTTCTTCCCAGATTCCCCTATCCGCCCCCAAGGCAGACCACGCCCTGGCCTCCCCTGCGGCCAGAGCACTGCCCCATCCCACCCCTCTCCCAGGCTTCTACTTATTCGTACATGTCCAGTCACCCAATAAGCTCCTTAAGACGGGGCCTGAGACAGGCCCCTGGTCTCTGGCCCTGGCTTCTGGCACGGGCGTCCCCCGATTGTGTACTCTGCCCGTACCATCTGGTTGGCACCGACCAGCTCGTGGAGGCCCCAGAAGAAGAAGGCTGAGCGGTGGTCTGCGGTCAGCAGGCTGGCAGACGGAGGGTACCCAGGGAGGCCTGGAAGGGCCAGAATCCAAAGGACCGCCCCGGTGCTGAGGTCCAGGAGCCGGATCTGGGAGGAAGGGGACAGCACGGGGCAGATGGGGTGGGATTTGCACAGGCACATGAGCCAGCCCTGAATAAACTGCTCCCTGGGGTCAACGAGACTGTCTCCCTGAGGCCCCTCTCGTCCCAGCTCAGCCATCAGGCCACAGCCCTGTCTGCTGACTCATTTTCCTCAGCTACAAACCAAGGTGGGACCACAAAAGGAAGTGCAGCCAACCTGTCTGTCAATGCCGGTTCCATTTTCAACGACCACGGCTAAGGTGTCGGGTTTGTAGTGACCGAGGATGGGTTTTCTAGGGAAGAAGCCACGAGGGGTCTCTGTGAGGAGACACCTGGGGGCAGGTTTGCCACCCTCTTCTCCCCGGCTAGGCGGGCCCAGGACGGGAAGCAGAGGGGCTTCACCAGCCTCCGCCCCCCTTCCCCACCCTCCAGTGCAGGGAAGTACCAGGGGGCAGGCAAGAGGCCGCTGGCAGAAGCACACTGGCTGTCTCGCCCACCTCCACGGGGCTGCCAGGGGATGGGCTGGCGGGGCCTGGCTTGCAACAACTGCACAGGCTCCGGGGAAGCCGGTACCTGAGGACCTGGGGCGCGCTGAAGGTCCACCTGGGGGCCAGCTCCTGGCCCTCCAGCAGCACACAGGAGTCCGGACTCACGAGAAGGAGGTCCTCGCCGCCTTTCCCGGGGACGCTCATCAGATAGTGGACGGCTCCAGAGCTAGAGGGGGCAGCCGCCAGGACAGAGGCTGGAGGGGGGACCCTCCCCCAAGCACTGTCCACCAGACTCCCACCTGCAGCCCCTCATTCTTAGATCTCTAATCTGAGAATATAAACCAGACCCTCGCTGTGCTTGGAGAGAGGGTGAGCCCACGGCTGGGCACCTTTTCCCTCCGGGTCTGAGCCCAGCATGGCCTCACAGTACCGGCAGCCAGGCCCGCAGCCCCTCCACGGCTGAGCACGGAGGACCGGGACCTGGCCTGTGCGACGCCGCCCACACCCACCTGTGCACAAGCAGCCTGTGGTTGGTGGCATTGAGCACGTCCTCCCAGCTGGGGTCTCTCCTCAGTGGGCTGTCTCTCCCGGTCACTGTTTCGTAGACGCCCTTCACGGAGTGGCCACAGAGGGAACTTGCTACTCAAAACACAGAAGAGCCTCAAGTCACCAGGGGCTGCTGGGGGACCAGGACGCGCGCCCACCAGCCCTGCCTGCAGGCACACGCGGTGCCCTCCCCGAGCGGGAGGGGATGAGACCCTCCGTGGCTTTCACTGCTTGTCAGCGACTACACTTTGAATCCCTAGAAGAAAAGCAGGAGCCGTGGAGCCTCACGGCAGCTGCAGATCCCATCTGAGACCAGCATGGCCTCTGCAAGTGCGGCCGTTTGGGGCCCAGCAGGCACAACATACCGCAGGGGAGAAGGATGTAGTGGGCGCCCGCCCTGGTGACATACAGGAGGGAGCCACTGGTCCCATCCACACCGAGGCTGCCTCGGTGGCCAATCTGGTGCCCAGTGCTGCCCGAATAGATGTAGCTGTTAACCTGCAACACATGGGAAGAAAAACGGGTCAAAATCCCCTGGTTTAGGGAAAGATTAATGTCTGATATCAGGCGTGTGTGCGGGGACTGCCTGGGAGAAGAGCGTGGTCTCCCACACTAGAGTCCCTCAGGCTCCTCAGGACCCCACCCACACCCCAGTGGCACAAACGAAAGGGCACTCCCATTCCTGGGGAGGCCCAGGAGCTACGAACAGGGACAGAGCTGCCCAGCGTGCTGGGTCTGCAGGTGCCAGGGCACAGGGCCTTGGGCAAGTCCCCTGACAGGCGATCAGACCCAGAATCTGCCTGGGAAGTGGAAGGACCAGGGAGCAGAGCAGAGGCTCCAGGGGCTTGGGCTGCAGGGACTCGGGGCGGGGGGAGCTGTACCTCCTTGTCCTCTTGGGTGAGAACCAGCAGATCTGGGGCCCCGTCGGCATCCAGGTCAGGCACCTGGATTAACGGGCTTAGGATGGAAGCGTTCCTTCTGAAGCTGCTGGGATGGTTCCACAGGGTCTCCCCTAAAACCAAGCACACGTCAGCGGGCGCTGGCCCCAGGTCCCCTTCCACCGCAGCCTGGCAGATGCACAGACCCTCCCACTCGCAAACGGAAACACCTACCAGCGGGAGCTGAGGGCAGGTGCAGGTGAGCACGACTGCTGAACACACTGAAGGGCACATATGCGAAAAGACCAGGGGCTTACACACCAGTGTTCAAGTCTCACTTCTGGGAATTGCAGACCTCCCCACCCCTACTCCTTTTTTGTTGACCCATCTATCTATATAAAAGGCTAATATG